AGAACGTGCAATCGTCCGATCACGTCCACAGGATCATTACCATCACCACGATCACTGCGGCGACCACCGCGATCACCCGATCACCGAGACCAGGTGATGCATTCGGCTGACCATTCTGATATTTGAGAACTTACAGGGGTCGTCGAGTTGCAGCCAAGGTGCGCCGTGTGGCATGATGTTCCACTATCGCGACGTTGGTGCTGAGTTTTTTTGCGACGCTGTCGTCGCCCTCCCCCCTTCTCCGATTCTTACCAGTTGTTTCCCCACTGGTATCAGCATTGGTGCCCGCGGTCCTGCCCCCCCCATCCAGGCGAAAGTCTCTGTCGATTCTGTTTTTGTTGGGATTTGCGGAAATTCCCCAATGCGTTTTCGATTGGTGCATTTTTTTCTGGTGTGTTTTCCCTGCAACATTTGGACAACATATATACGCCAATCCGCCGGGGCAGGTTTCGCGCGCGCCTCATTTGTAGATATCTTGACGGCGGTTTTCAGGCCCGCGCTGTCAGGGCCCGCCCGTCTTTTCAGAGCCACTTCACGTGGAGTGCCGTGGCCCGTTGTTTCCTGACATATTTCTAGGATCCCATGCGCAGTGCAGCGCGTTGCCGTAGACAGCCTGCCCGCGCTGGCACTTAGAAAGCTGCAGATCCGCGGCGCGTGAACTTTTGCATTGTTCCAGCGAAATGCCTTCACGGATATATTTCACCCTCTCATATTGTCGCGACGGCGGCGGCGGATGCGGCGGCGGCACCCGCGGGGGCGGCGGCGGCGGCGGCGGCCTGGCGGCCTGGAGCTTCTGGGGCTCTCCTCGGTTACCGTGGCACTCACGTTACTTGTAAAGTCTTGGAAACACTCGGAGCATTCCGACGCGTCGCACGTCGATCTCGCACGGCTCCGCGACCGCCGACCGAACCCGAAGCTATTCCCCATGATGCCCAGCACTTCCACGCGCCAAGGGCGGCCCTTGCCTGGGGAACCTCTCCCTGGGTATCTTGGGGTTCGTGGATTAGCGCAAGGTCTACTGACACCGACTGCGCAGCCGGGTAGAACCTAAGCGCGCGCGTAGCGCGCGTAGTTCTGCTCGATGTATGTATGTATGTACGTATGTATGTGTCTTTGTATGTATGTATGTTTGTATGTATGTATGTTTGTATACATGTACATATGCACATCTATATGTCTCAGTCTATGTCTGTGCATTTGTATTTGTATGTGTATTTGTACTTGTCTATATAGTTGTACATACATCTGTGTACGTGTATATGTATTTGTCTGTTCAAGTGCAATTGCATATGCATATGTATATAGGAAGGAATGTGCTTATGTATAGTGTATACACGTATATGTCTATGATCATGTATGGTTACCTGCATATGGGTACGCATATGTATCTTTGTACATATGTACATATATGTATGTAAGTGTATGTGTATATACGACTATGGCTATCCACATTCATATGTGTATGTTTATGTATATGTGCTTATGCAAATGTACGTATTTTGATGTGCATATGTGTAGGTTTAAGTATACGTATATGTATATGTGTGTATATATACACATGCAGATGTATATACATATATGTTTATGTACATGTCAAGGCTATGCGTATAGGTATGTATATCTGTACATATGCGTATATGTACATGCGCACATACATGTACATGTATCCATGTGTATATGTGTTTAGATGTTTATGCATACGTTTATGTATATGTATCTGTAAAGGTATTATATGTTCCCTAATCAGAGCTTGCCTCTGTAGGGGTCCTAGCGGATTCATATGGTTAGGTTAGGTTTGCCGCCGATTTTCGCTGCACGCCCGGGTGCCCGGGTGCCCGGGGGTGCCCGGGGGTGCCCGGGTGCCCGGGGGTGCCCGGGTGCCCAGGTACCCGGGAAGTGCCCAGGGGTGCCCCGGAGCCCGGGTGCCCTGGTGCCCGGGTGCCCGGGCGTGCCCGGGGGTGCCCAGGGGGTGCCCGGGGGTGCCCTATAGCCCTATAGCCCTATAGCCCTATATCCCTATAGCCCAATAGCCCTATAGCCCTATAGCCCTACAACTCTATAGCCCTATAGTTCTATAGCCCTATAGCTCAATAGCCCTATAGCCCTATAGCCCCCTAGCCCTATAGCCCTGATTGGGCTTTTCTCCGGTATCACACATATATATATATATGTATATGTACATGCGTATGTACCTAGATACATGTATATACATGTGCATGTTTTGGTAAACGTATATGTTTATGTATATGTTTACCTATATGCATAGGTATATGGATATCTAGATGCGTACGCTTATGCATATGCATATGTACATGTAGGTGTACGCACATATGCATATGTACTTGTATATTTACATGCTCATATATTTGTATTTGCATTTTGATATGTATAGGTGTATTTAGATATACTCGTGTATATATATATATATATATATATGCATGCATGTATAAATTCATATAGACACGTATGCATATTTGTATGTATGTGTCTATATGTGTATGCGTTTTATATATACACACCGATATTACATTCCTGGTGTAATATATATATTTGTATATATATATATATACATATATACATATACAAGACTGCGGTGGCGCTTCGCGCCATGCACCTTGATCCTAGAAGTTTGGTATGCTGGCGAAATAGCAGGAAGGTCAAGCCGACAATTTAGCGATAACTCCTTGTCATGGGAGCAAAATCAATGAATATTGGCATTCGGAAACATCGTGGGGGTGTTTTTCGGGGCCCTCGTGGGCCGTTTTGGCGCCTTCATGGGCCGTCCTGGGGCCTTCTTGGGCCGTCTTGGGTAGCTTGGGCCCGCTGGAGCCCCCTTTGGACCCATCTTGGGCACTTCCGGGGACCTCCCATGGCCCTTTTGGGTTTGTGCTGGGAGCCCTTTTACGGGCTGTCTTGGGGCTCTCGTGGGCGATCGTGGGGCCCGGCTCGGCCGTCTTGAAGCTTTCTAGGGGGCCTTTTGGAGCGTCTTGAGGCAATTTCGGGGGCTTTGAAACCGTCTCGAAAGCTGATGAAATCCGAAAGGCCAATATGCTAAACTTGTAAGTTTTACGAAGGGAATGGGACGATTTTTGTAGGTTGAAGGCCCCTTGGAAAGCTTTTTGGGGTGCCTTGGGGGTCTTTCTGTTGGCATTCGGAAACATCGTGGGGGTGTTTTCGGGGCCCTCGTGGGTCGTTTTGGCGCCTTCATGGGCCGTCCTGGGGCCTTCTTGGGCCGTCTTGGGGAGCTTGGGTCCGCTGGAGCCCCCTTGGACCCACCTTGGGCACTTCCGGGGACCTTCCATGGCCCTTTTGGGTCTGTGCTGGGAGCCTTTGGGGGCCCTCTTGGTTCCATTATGGGCTGTCTTGGGGCTCTCGTGGGCGATCGTGGGGCCCGGCTCGGCCGTCTTGAAGCTTTCTTGGGGGCCTTTTGGGGCGTCTGGAGGCGATCTCGGGGGCTTTGAAACCGTCTTGAAAGCTGATGAAATCCGAAAGGCGAATATGCTAGAGTTGTAAGTTTTACGAAGGGAATGGGGCGATTTTTGTAGTTTGAAGGCCCCTTGGGAAGCCTTTTGGGGTGCCTTGGGGGTCTTTTGGGCCGTCCTGACGCAATTGGAGTCCCTCTTGGAGCGCTCTTGTGCTGTCTGGGGCCTCCCTTGAGCCTTTCTGATGACCCCTCGGATCGCTCTGGGTCTGCTGGCAAGGCGTTTGTGGAGACCCGGAAAGCCGGGTGACCTTTTCCAAGGACGTCCAAGGGAGCCCGAGAACCCCAGATCCTGGGGGTCCAGTTTTTTTTGGGGGGGGAGGGTTTCCCCCCCCCTCCCCCCCGGGCTTGTAGAAATATAGGAACAGGAATATCGGAGTAGGCCGGGGGGGGGGGCCCGGGCCGGTGCCGTAACCCCCCATAGGGGTATTGGGGGGTCCCAGGGCTCCCGGGACTACCCTTCCCAAGTACAGTCTCTGCCTGTTGGACGGGTCGCTTTGGAATGCTTGCCTTTCGGCCTTCATTTTCCCTACTCCTCTCCTTGCGCTCCCTCCCTCTTCCCCTGATGCTGCTCTTTCTTATTGCTCCTGCTCACCTCTCCCTCCCCCCTCCTCCCCAGTTGCTCCAACTTCCGCTCCTCTCTCTCTCTCTCTCCTCCGAGGCTCCCGTGCCTCCCGTCTCTGCTGTTCCTCACGTTCGTCCCGTTCTTCCTGTTCCTCCTCCTTTTCAGCCTCCTTTGTCTTCTTCTTTTCCTCCTCTTCTTCCTCCTTCTCCTCCTCCCTCTTCCTTTCTCCCCCCTTTTTCCTCTTCCGTCGTCTTCTGTTCTCGTACTCCCCACTCTCCTCCTCTTTCTCCTCTTCCTCCTCCTCCTCCTCCTCTTCCTTTCTTCTCCAATATTTATCCCACCCTCCTCCTTCCTCGTCCCCGTTCCTTGTCCTCCTCATCCTCCTACTCCTCCCTTTCCTCCTCCCTCCCTCCTCCTCCTCCTCCTCCTCCTGATTCTCCAGCCTCGTTCACTTCCCCTCTGAGTGGACGTCAATTGCCCACCTCACCGATCCTGGCGGGGTCCTTCTGGGCACAGGATCGGTACAGTCGCCCTCCTGGCTTGGCCGGGGGAGGCATCCTGGAACTGCATCGGGACGGGCCCGGTCAGGGTAAGTGGTCTGTTGACATCCCCCGATTCCCGCCATCCTGCGGTTTTGCGCGCTCGGATGAGGAAGCCACTGGTATTCTTGCCGGATTCCGTTTCCTCTTTGGCGTGTCGGATGGGTGCTGGGGTCGGCGGCGGTGCGGGCTCTGAAGCCTGGGTCGCGACCACAGCTAGTGACGACGTCCACGGCTTCCACAGCGACGACGACGACGACGGCGACGACGGCGACGACGGCGACGATGGCGACGACGACGACGACGACGGCGACGACGGCGACGATGGCGACGACGACGACGACGGCGACGACGACGACGACCATGACGACGACGACGACGGCGACGTTGCCCCGAGCGCGGAGCGCTCCCCGAGGACGGCAACGTCGTCATAGCCGACTGGCTCGTGCTGGACGGCGCGCCTTCGGACACCATCAGCATCCCCGTTGCGCTCCGCGCTCCGCACTCCGCCCTCCCCAGCCCCGCGGCGCCGGGCGCGAGCCGAGCTGCGCGCGGCTCGTTGCCGTCCATCGAGCAGTGGCGAAGCGCTCTGGCATGCCTGCAGTGCCACCCAACAATGTTCTAGGAGCTTTTTGTGGTCTGCACGAACTGTTCTTACAACATTTCTGGCCGAGACCGTCTTCTTCTAAGAGATCGGGCTTATGTCATAAAACACATTTTTTGTTCTTAGAACATTGTCGGGCTCAAAGAACATTTTTCGGTGGTAATTTAGGCCTACAGGAATGCCGGGACGGTCGGCCCCTGCTCAAGTCCGGTGCTTGGGTGGCGCCACTGAGGAGAAACTCGGAAACGTCTCAGGAGGTAGGGGGCCACATGCGAACCCTACCCCTACCCCCCACCATTTCGGAAATGAACCCCACCCTCCCCCTCAGAAATCGTGGGGGCTAGGGGTAGGGTTCGCATGTGGCCCCCTAGGAGGGGGGTGATGACCAGGGAGGTTGGGCAGCACGGCTGGGGCCACAAGCCCTCCCCGGGTTGCACGGCCCCCCTTCCCGACCCGCGGCCGGGCGCGAGTCGAGCTGCGCGCGGCCCGTCGCCGTCCAGTGCTTGGGCGGCGCCGCTCCCTGAGGTCCTGGCGACTCCATTGATTTCGAGCCCGTTGTCTTCTCGCTCCATTTCGGGCCCCAGGACCCTCACATATCGACCCGGCTCGAGAAGCGACGCAGAATGATGGGGTCCGGGGTCCGGTCGTGACTTATTTTTTTCGATGTTGCCTTTTTTTGCAACGTCGGATCTCGGGGCTGGGGAGAATCTCGGGGGCGCCTCAGGGCGGGGTGCGATGACCAGGGGGGTGGACAGCAGGAAGCGCCACTGCGCCTCTTGTGAAGCTGCAGCGTGTCCCGTGAGGTCTTTTCTGACTGTTTCCCGATGCGTGTGCCGTCAAGCTTGCCAGAAGCTCCTTCGGAAGCTCCTTCCAAGAGCTTCCAGAGCCTTTCGGAAGGTGTCGGAGGGCCTCTCCAGCGCTCCGCTATCTGGGGTTTGGATCCCACAAGTGACCAGGGGGGTGGACACCATGGCTGGGGCCATGAACTCTCCGCGGGTCGTACGGCTCCTCCTTCTTCTTCTTCTTCTTCTTCTTACACGTAAGAGTGACCCTTAGCCAGAGTGACCTTTGGTGCGGGCCCAATGTGGCCCCCCGATCGCCGAACGCGATGCGGTAACATAGTAGCGTCTTGCGCGTGTTCGGTCCCCCCTGGGCCCCCGAGAAGCCGCGCACCAAAGGTCACTCTTACCCAGGGTCAGTCCCGCATGTGGCCGAGAATTTCCCCCAGCCTCCCGCCTGGACTGTTTGTCTCCAGCCAGCGAGGCCTCGGAGGTGGGGCTGCTCCTCAGGGCCGTCCCTGAGATCCGCCGTTGCAGGAACGTCGTGCAACACCACAGGGAGTCACGACGGGAGCCCCGGACCACGTCGCACTGCGGCAGCGGCCCTGTTTGGAGCTGAACGGAGCTCTGCTGGTCCTGGGGCCCGAGACCGGGCGAAGACGCGCGGTGTGGCAGAGCCCCCGACGTCGCGATCTTTTCCTGACGTCGACCCCCAACGGTCTGGAGCCCTTCCCCGGGACCGGCTTCTCATCCCGAGTCCTTTTCTGACGGCCCTGGGGCCCGGTCGGGGCCCCCAGAGGCCGAAACTCGGGGGCTCCCAAACGGGGTGGTGACCACCCCGTGTGGTGAGTCGGTGGGGATTCGGGGTCACCGCACGGTTTTGGGACTCGGGTCGTTCTCCGAGGATGTCTCGGGCGACTGTAGCCTCCAGGGTCCCAAAACCGTGTGGTGACGGATCGCGTGCGGTGAGGTCTTTGCGGATTTCGAGGTCGCCGCCGGGTCTGTCACCACACGGTTTTGGGACACCGAAGAAATCAGCGAACAGCCTGCCGTCGTGATCTTTTCATGACTCGACGGGGCCTGGGGAAGCCATTGCCACGCTCGGATCTCGGGGTCCTAGTGATCTCCGGTCTCCGGCGGCCGCTGGGGGCGAGGGGGGCACCCCCGACGCGCCCTCGGCGAAGCGCAGCTGCCTCACGGGGCACCCAGAGGCCGGAAGGCCGCCGAGAGCCGACGAGGACGCCAGAAAACCTCGAAGCTTCGAAGCCTCGCGCCCTCGAGCCCTCGAGCCCTCGAGCCTTCGAGCCTTCGAGCCCTCGAGCCCTCGAACCAACCTCGAGGCCTCGGACCTCCGACGCGGCGGGGCGCCGGAGCCCGCCATGCGCCCCTCACGCCAAGGGCGGCGGTGCGCCTCAGGGGCGCCCCGCGGCGGCTCGTGCTCAGCCTCCGGTGGCACCTGCAGGACCTGCTGTCCGTCTACGCGGGCGCCGCGGCGCAGGTCGGCCGCGCGCAGAGGGCCGCGGCGGTTGCTGCGGGGAAGAGGGGGGCCAGAAGCGGATGCTGAGGGCGGTGATAGCTGGCCCAGCACAGCTCATGAGCAGGTTTTTTACACGTGCGCTATATCTGGTCCAGGGGTTTCGGCACCTCCGCCAAGTGGGCGGCAGCCAGCGCAGCCCGGATCGTCAACCTCCTGAACCTTTTAGGGTACCTGTAACCGATTTATAAGGTAGGCGAGACCAGCCATGCCCACCTTAGCATCAGCTTCTGAGCCCCCCATCCCCTTAGCAGCCGCCACGGTCATCTCAGTACAGTAGGTTCGCGTCGTTTCGACCGGCGACGACCCCGCCGCTGGCGTTCAACGTTGAACAGCGCCAGCGACCGAGAATTGGTCGATGCCGAACGAGCTGACGTGTCGGAAACGCCAGATCGTTCAAGGTTGCACGATCCCCGCGGTGTCAGAAACCAGCGCCAGGGTCGACGCGACACGAACCTGCCGTAGGGGGGAGGGGGGAAAGGCTTCTTAGAAGCACCCTTGCTTCTTAGAAGGCGCGGGCCTTGTCTGTAGATGTAGGGCCTGCGCCTTCTAAGAAGCAGCCTCCTTCTGAGAAGCCTTCCCCCCTCCCCCTACCCCATTGTGCGCGCCGCCAAGCAGGGCGGCGCCAGCGAGTTCAAGGAGGACAGCGCCGACCTGACAGGCCTTCTTCGGGTATAGCCAGGGCCCCGGGAGAAAGGGACCCAGTTAGTGTTAAGTCGGGCACGTCCCTCTACAGGAGGAATATCCCAAACTAGTCTAAAATAGTCTTGGGACTTTTTTTTGACTATTTTTGAGTATGTGTTTGATATTTTTGGACAATTTTTCATTTTTCATCAACAAGCCCCCCCTGTAGGGGGACCTGCCCGACCTGAGGTTAGTGATAGGGCTCCGAAGCCAAAAGATATGCCAGGATCACTCACGAAGGTCCGCCGTGGCTCGTGTTTGCTAATGCAACGGGGAGGGGGAGGCGCCTCCAAGCACACATCACCTCCTCCCCCTCCTCCCCCTCCCCCTCCTCCCCCTCCTCCTTCTCCTCCTCCCTCTCCTCCTCCCTCTCCTCCTCCTCCCTCCGCCTCCTCCTCCTCCTCCTCCTCCTCCTCCTCCCCCTCCTCCTCCTCCTCCTCCTGAACCAGGTCTCACTGAGCCCAGTCTCGCCAACGCCCAGCTTCTGGGTCTCCGGACATCTCCTCTCGGTATGGATGGATCGCTCTAGGCCTCCTGGGAGGGGTCGGAGCAGGCCGGGCCAGAGAGTCGTGCCGCCTCGTCGACGCGCCGCGCGGCGAACAGAGCACGACGGGTCCGCCGCGGTCGCACGCCCCCTGAGATCCTGGCAGTTTTTCAGGCCCAGACGCCGTCGCGCGGTTTCGGGCCTTGGGACCCTCACAGATCGATCTGGCTCGACAAGTGCAGAAGAAAGATCGGGTCAGCTGCCAGGGCAGATCCACTGAGATTTCCGGCGCCACCATTTTTTTTCACACCGGGCGCTCTTGCCCTCTTTCGGGCCTCGGGGGCCCTCACGGCTCGATCCGGCATGTCACATGGCGCATCAAGATGGGGTCCAAGGTTCGGGTCGTGACTTTTCGCGATGTCGCAATTTGTCGCAGAGTCGGTTCTCAGGGTCCGCCGCCGGGGCATCTTATGGGGGGGCCTCCAAAGATCAGGAGGGACACAAACACACGGACACAAATGATCGTCGATGACTTGGGCCAGAGGGAAAGCATGCGAAGTGGGGGGGAAGACAAGAGTCCAGAACATATAGAAAACTAGCCTGGCGAAGACCCAACCATATGCAGTTGTGAGTAACGCAGTTGTAATATCGTCTTCGGTGGAGCTCCCTAGCGGGCCACGAAACGTGTGAGGGGTGTGCCGAAATGGGTGCTGCGGGCGCATGCGAACGCAGCCACTGGGGCCTTTGGTGGAGCCCTCTCTGTGGCCACGAAACGTGTAAGGGTGTGCCCAAATTGGTGCGGCGGGCGCATGCGAACGCAGCCACTGCTGCATTCGGCGGAGCTCCCTATGGGACCACAGACCGTGTGAAGGGTGTGCCGACATGAGTGCGGCGGGCACATGCAAACGCAGATATTGGGGCCTTCGGTGGAGCTCCCTATGTGGCCACTAGACACGTGAGGGGTTTGTGCCGAAATTGGTGCGGCGGGGGTATGCGAACGCAGCCACTGGAGCCTTCTGAGGAGCTCCCTATGGGGCCACGAAACGCGTGAGGAGTGTGCCGAAATGGGTGCGGCGGGCGCATGCGAACGCAGCCACGGAGGCCTTCGGTGGAGCTCCCTATGGGACCACGAAACGTGTGAGGGGTGTCCGCGGCGGGCGCATGCGATCGCAGCCATTAAGGCCTTCGATGGAGCTCCCTATGGGGCCACGGGCTGTGTGAGGGGTGTGCCAGAATGGGTTCGGCAGGCGCATGCGAACGCTGGCACTTGGGCTTTCGGTGGAGCTCCCTATGGGGCAACGAAGCGTGTGAGGGTGTGCCAAAAAGGGTGTGGCGGGCTCATGCGAACGTAGCCACTGAGGCCTTCGGTCGAGCTCCCTGTAGGGCCACGAAGCGTGTGAAGGGTGTGCCGAAATTGGTGCGGCGGGCACATGCGAACGCAGCCACTTGGGCCTTCGGAGGAGCTCCCTGTCTGGCCACGGGATGTGTGAGGGGTGTGCCGAAATGGGTGCGGCGGGCGCATGCGATCGCAGCCATTGGGGCCTTCGGTGGAGCTCCCTATGGGGCCACGAAGTGTGTGAGGGGTGTGCCGAAATGGGTGCGGTGGGCGCATGCGAACCCAGCGACTGCTGCCTTCGGAGGAGCTCCCTATCGGGCCACGAAGCGTGTGAGGGGTGTACCGAACAGGGTGCGGCGGGCGCATGCGAACACAGCCAGTGCTACCTTCGGTGGAACTCCTTACGGGCCACGCAACACGTGAGGGGTGTGTCGAGATGGGTGCGGCGGGCGCATGTGAACGTGGCCACTGGGGCCTTCGGAGGAGCTCCCTATGTGGCCACGAAGCGTGCAAGGGGTGTGCCGAAATGGGTGCGGCGGGCGCATGCGATCGCAGCCACTGGGGCCTTCGGTGGAGCTCCCTATGGGGCCACGAAGCGTGTGAGGTGTGTGTGTGTGTGTGTGTCGAAACAGAGACATGCGGATGGCATAGGCAAGGATGGGCGGAGGGAGGAGGTGGATGAGGAAAAGAGGAGAGGAGGGACGCGGGGCGCTGTCTCTTCTAAATTAGGACCCAACACCACAGGCGGGTTGGGAAATCTGGGGGATCCTGGGATTTCTGCACATTCGTTTGTCGGCCCCTGGGCCCCTTCAAAGGAGGGGGGGTGATGACTCAATGGGGCTTCTTGGAGGACGCTCCTGGTGGTCGGGTCGCCTCGGTCCTGCTCGCCAGCAGCTGCGCCTCGTCGAGAGCTCTCCGGGGTGCCCAGATCGTCCCGAACGGCCGTCTCCCGGGTATACGGGCAGGAATTTGTGCTTACCGTGTTGCACCGCTGGCTCTGGCCCACCACGCCTCCACGCGACGCGCTGAGTACGTCCCTGCCGCCAGGCTGCAGGGTCCAAAGCTTTTCCCAGCATCCCGTCACGCGAGGCGGAGCGGCACGTCATCAGCTCGCCCGATCTGGCGTGTCCCTGGGGGCCGCCGCTGCGACATGCTAAGCAGCGGTTCTCGGCCGTGCAATCGGGGGGGGGGATGCGCTGAGCAGCAAGTCCTGCCACACGGGGCGCTCCAGAAGGAGCCTCGCCCTCGATGGGGCCGGAGGAGGTGGCAGCTCTTCCCGGGCGGAGCGCGGCGCAGGGCCGGGTGGGGCGGCGGCGGCAAGACGGGGGCGGCTCTGTAGGCGGAGGGCGGCGGACGCGAGAGTGGTACACCATAGGCGATACTTAAGAAAACTTACGTTTTCGGCCAGAGCCTCGATTATTCTAAATGAATTTCTTAACCCATGATTTCTTAAGCATTTCGCATGGTGTAGGTGAGCAGTCTTGGGCTCAGGGGTTCTGGACCGAGCCCGTCGGGCGCTGGCCGATGCCTCGGTCGAGTGCAGTCCATTCGGGGTCGCCGTGGTCGGCGTTGCGGGGTGACGACCTGGGCCAAGTGGGTTCCGCCCACCCGGCGGAGGTGTCTGACCGCTCGGAGCCGCTGTGTGGCACTGGTAGCCCGCTCGTGAGCTGGGCTGGGCCAGACATCACCCACCGCGGCATCCGCTCAGAGAAGCAACCCGTCCCCTTGGCCCCCCCCCGCCGCGCCGATCCGAGCAGTCAGTTCTCAACCGCTCCCACGAAGACTTCCCGGGAGCTGCCAGGGCCGGGGGTGGATTAGACCTCCTACCCTGACACGTCGATCAGCGGATTGGCCGTTTTCGGTTCGCGAGAGGGCGTCACGGCCGTCATTTTTGCGGGCCCAGGTCCGTCGGTGTCGGTCCTACAGTGCCGTTTTCACTGAAGGGAGGTTTGCTGAAGGGAGGTTTGTCGTCCACCGCCGCCAGGGGCAGAGGCGGCGCGGGGGAGCCCTCCCGGGGGGGGCGACGAGGCCGCAGGGAGACTTGTGAGGTTCCAACCTACACATGGTTCATTTCTAATGATTCGAAAGTTCTTTGATTTTTCTTCGGCAGGATCCTTTCATTTCTAATTGTTCTATCCTGGGCGTCTCCCTGGCCACTAGGGGGCCAGGAACAATTAGAAACGAGCACAATTAGAAATGAGCACGATTAGACAAGAACGACGTGTACTTACGCCTGGATCGCGAGAGCGAATTTCGAGCACCAAGAAGGTGCCGAAGCTGACGGGTTTTCACGCGTCGTGTCGGGCCCTGGGAGGCGATGCTCCTTCGACGCTTCGCCGGCGCGTCGGGCACACACTGTTTCGATGCCTTTCTGGGCGCCCGACACTGTTTCTGGGATGTGGCCCTTAAGTACGATGGGAGCAGCATGGCGGGAGGCGGCTCTTTTATTTCTGGAGCGTAACGGTCGTTACCCGCTCATCGCCCCCGGGGTGACGGTAGTTAACGACCGTACGTGTTGTTGTTGTTGTTGTTGTTGTTGTTGTTGTTGTTGTTGTTGTTGTTGTTGTTGTTGTTGCATTTCTGAAGAATAATTATTGTTGATCCCCCCCACTGGTGCATACTGTTTTTTCTCAATCAAAGTCAACAACGGCTCCCGCCTGAGACTTCCTTACAGTTTAGCCAGGACCCCCGCTCCCGCCCGAGACTTCCTTGCATTTTATTCAGGAATCGCGCTCTCGCTTGGGACATCCTTACAATTTATTGAAGAATCGCTCTCCCGGCGCTCTGGAGTCGCGCTCTCGCTGGAGACTTGCTTGCAACTTACTGAAGAATGGCCTTGCGTTGGAATTTCTTGCAATTTGCCCAAACGCCGCGCTCCCGACACCCAGGCACCCAGGAGTCGCGCCCGTTGTGGCCCCATGTGCATGCCCTTCGTGGCCCCGCTGTCACCATTTGTGTCCCCCTCACTGTCCTACGTGGCCCAGTTGCTACCCTCAGTGGCCCCATAGTTGCCTTCTGTGGCCCCGCATTATCTGCACTTCGTGGCCCCCGCTCGTTCGCGCTCTTCGTGGCCCCATACGCATTCCCTTCGTGTCCCCGCTGTCGCCCTTCGTGGCCTACTTCGTGCCCTTCGTGGCCCTGCTGTCGTTCTCTC